TGAGACTGTTAGCCACCTTCCTCTAAGCGGAATGGCGGCCAGTATCAGATGAACTTCGAACGTTTTCGATTATCTAATGACGTTACCCCTTTAATGTCTCTGTAGACAACCTAGCCATTCCCTTAATTTTATGTAAATGGCTGATGTGAATACGCGAAATAGCTCCATTCATATTATCCTGACGAAATGTTTTTCGTTCTTGCCTTTTGTTTCATGCACTTAATTTCAAGTCTATCTACTGGTAGTCTACAGTTGAGTGATATACCGTACGGTCACCATTCGATGTATACGCAGAGAATGAGCGGGTGAACGTAAGCGCGACTCGAAATTAACATGATGACAGTGACTATCTGCTCCTGAAAAGAATAACCAACAAAGATGTTCAGAAGACTTGTTATTATGGCTAGATTCATTCCGGCTGCACGGATGAGCAGGTGCTGCGTAAGTTCCCGATGGCAGTCTCATCAAGTGTCGTTAAAAAGGGCCCCAACTCCAGTTGGAAAACATTTCACGTCTCATTTCTAAGTGAAAACTAGTGACGAGAATTAAATATCGGTAGACATGCACCTACATCAACTCTGCGATGGTCGACTATTGTCTGGGAACAATATCACTACCTGTCACCTAGTTCATTAGCTGCGCTCACGCTAACCATGCACTGCCGAGTCGGTTGGTTGAAGTACCGGCTAAATGACCAGTAATCCATACTCCGGTGTTACGTTCGTTGTTGAATTACTCCAATCAATCGACCGTGTTTCATTCGGATTCCATCCTATTTACTGCAACAGTTGATGTTGCCAAGCAGTTTGCTTCCCACTTCTAGGCTATAGTTTGGGTTTACCGCGGTTTTCTGACATGACCCGCTTTCCGCTTCACTCATCGGAAAATACATGCGTCCTTCTTTATCGCAGTCAACTTGTGTTATACTCTTCTAGCTATGCAAATATACAATGATCCTCTCAACCTCACCCCAATCGTTCAAAGCATACTAGCGTTTTCATTATTCAAGGAAGTATACATGAAGCCTGATGCGTTTGTCTCAGCGCCACTTTACCGAAATCAGCTTAATCGGTAGGCTTCCATTTGAAAATTTGCTTATACTATGTTTGAGAGCTGTCATTAGTAAGTTGTGAAAATGGCTCGAAACCTTAGTTGGTCAGTGAAAGAAGTTTTCCTACGGGGAGGCACATACCTCACCTACCGTGAGTTAAATTTATCAAGAAATATCTGTTATCAAGGTTTACTGATAGCAAGCCAGTTAATTAATTCCCTGACTGCGCTCGAATGAGTTTTTGGTTTCCATTTGTTAGTAGGATATTGTTCCTCCGCTTGAAGACATCAGTGAATTTGTCACTCGAGAAACATTAAGTGGGTTTTCGGGTATTTGGAGCAACCGCTGTGTATCTTGGATTGCGACGCGCAATCTCCCTAGTGGCGTATTGCCAGAGGCTGACTTCAAAGTCAACCGGCGCCACTAGTGAGATTACGTGTCGCACTCCAAGACACAAAGCGGGTGCTCCAAAAACCCGAAAATCTACTTCTAACCGCTTTGTCAAACACTGCTCGCAGAATTCAATGACCTAGTGATCATGGCGATAGCCGCTAAGCACTATGCGCCCAGTTCCACTCCCAGCTCGGCTATCTCTACCTGATGAGTTTAAAAAAAGAGGAAACCGTCGGTCGTGGAGTGCAGAGATGGGAGAGAGCGACACCGAAACCCTCCACTTAGTGGGTTCTTCGCCTTTCCAGCGGTTAACGAGCACAAACATTCTCCTTATTTCTAATACTCCACCATATGGTTTAGAAAACGGCACCTTCACTGCGGAAGCTGTGCTGAAGAAGTTGTTATCCTTGCATATCCATAGTTCTCCCGGAGATGACAACATCCAACCAAAGGCTCTACAGGCCGTAGCTAGTGATCTAGCAGAACCACTGGCTGTTTTCTATCAGCGATGTCTAGAAGAGAACCGTATTCCACCAGCATGGAAGCGAGGGGTCATCACTGCTATTCATAAAGGAGGTAGCCGCACTGATCCTGTCAACTACCGTCCAATAACACTACTTCCCGTGCTATCCAAAGTGATGGAATCAATCATCGCAAACGCGCTGATGCAATACCTGGAAAACCACAGTTTAATGGCCCCAGAGCAACATGACTTTCATCAAAAGCATTCGTGTAATACTAACCCACTAATTGCATGTAATAGCTGGACTGGAGCTGTTGATGACGGAGTGGGAGTCGATGTCATCTACCAGGACTTTTCAAAAGCGTTTGATCGCTTAGATTATCGAATTCTCCTTCGGAAGCTTCGGAATTACGGCATTGGCGATCCAAACCTGAGTTGGATTGGTAATTTTCTACAAGAACGACGGCTAGTGGTGAGAGTCCGAGAATCATTTTCTCATGCAATCGATGTGACGTGTTGAGTACCACAAGGCTCGGTTCTTGGACCTCGTCTATCCTTGGTGTTCATTAACGATTTGGCGAGATCAATTACTTCCGATTTCCTATTTTCCGATGATGATATCGAGATATGGCGAAGGATCAGACGACCGGACGACCATGAACAACTCCAGTGCGATCTTAACACAGTGTCAAACTGGTCAGTTCAAAACGCCCTACCGTTCAACGCAGACAAATGTCGCGTAGTACAATTACGCCATAGATATAACTACACCTATTCACTTGGGACAAGCGGATTGCAGAATAGCTCCCAGGAACGTGACCTTGGTGTGATCTTACAGAGCGACCTCAAATGCTCAAAACAGGCTGAGGTAGCTGCGACAAAAGGCAACCAGCACGTCGGCATGCTGCGAAGAGCATTCCCAATCATGCACAATTCCTACGTGCGCCAGCATGTTGAATACGCTATTCAAGCTTGGCAACCCTGGTTGAATTGTGACCTAGAAGCGATAGAGGCACCACAACGAACAGCAACAAAGAATGTAAAGGGCCTGCGCTATCACTCTTATCACCGAAGGCTGAAGTTGTTGGGAATTTTCAGCGGACGCTATCGAAGGCTGCGCGGCGATCTCATATTAGCGTATCAGATACTGAGTGACCCCAACCACGTATGCCGCCATTTGCTGAAACTTAGCCACAACACGCAGCTCAGGAGTAACTGCTTAAAGTTGAAGGAACAATATAGCCGTCTAGAGTGTCGACGGAATTACTTTTCCCTCCGGGTTTGCCAACCCTGGGACGCACTCCCAGATTCAGTGGTATCCTATCCTACCTTGGATGTTTTCAAAAACGACTAGATGTTGCTCTTATCTCCCAACATATTGTTACGTAAACTCCTCTATTGTGAATTACGCCAAGCAGGTTTTCAACAGGATTTATGTATCAAATGGACCTACTTTTCTCACTCCTCACCTCAATGATCACTGCACCCCAGTGTCTTTCTGAACGTTTACGCTCGGTACTTTATTTTAATTTTACACTGATGTTAATTATCAAAGTATCCATCTCAGTAGACGTTCGGTAGATGACCCAGACATATTTTAATTTCATCATATACACCGCAACCATCCTACGAGACGTGTCAAGCATTTGCTTTTATCGCGTGATAAATCATTGTTCATTGATCATTGTTCATCATTGTTGTATCCTCTTTCTTATGTTCTAATCTGCAGCAGGTTCATCGATTTCGAAGGGGTTCTAACGTTTACACTCCCCTTTCGTGCAGTAATTCTATGTTTCAATGATTACTTGATAACAGATGAACTTGTTCATTGCTTAAAGTTTCATGGCAACACAAGTTTTGCGTCAGTAACGCTCTGTCCCACTCGCATGCCAGAAGTTTGAAGTGCCTGTTAGCAGGGGCGCACTCGAAGTCTATTTCTCTGTCACAAATGCGCAAGCATTGCTTGAAGCTATCATCGGGCATGCTATCAGTTATAAACCACGGTTTAGTAAGGATTATCTGACTGAATCTTGAGCAGCCATTAACAGTTGCACTGAAAATTAGCGCAACATGGTGCAGCATTGGAACCTGCTGAACTGTAGGCACTATTCAATGTAACTCGCAATGCCACTCCAAAGAAGGCGGCCGAATATGCTTTATGGTGTGCGGATCTCGAGAGGATCCTTAACCTTACCATCCAACTGACTGTTGCAAGTTCGTTCAGTCACACCGCTTAGTGCTTCACTGATATGATCGAATTCGTCGTGGAGCTGTAAATCCGTTTGTCACTGAACGTTTACACCTGAGTTTGGATGCTACCGTGGTAATTTTGTCATGTGGTTGATTTTAGTGACATTTAGATGGTTGGCAGCGGATGTCATCATAATGACCGGTACAGGTGTTCTAGTGTTATAGTATGGAGGTCAGTGAATTGCGCACGGCCTCACCTCAGCTATAAGAGTACAGTGTGGTGGTTATGGCTTTGTCCTGTGAAATTGTTCTGGCGATTTGGGTGTAGTTCATGAATTGAAACAGCCAAAACTTTTAGGCAACTGGGTGCTTCATAGTTTCACCTGGCCTTTCGGCTAGCATGCATGATGCAAACCATATGATCCCAGTGTTTGTTGTTGTCCTTTTGAAAACCTTAGTTGGTTGCGTTGCCGTCTAAAACCATAGCGATAGATAATTTTCACTCAGTTCAACTGCAACTCAGAAGAACCTTGGCTCATCGTTGCGAGCCAAACATTTCTCATATTCGGTTAAAAATCTTCTGTTGAAGTGGACGTCTCCCATTACCTAGGCAAAGTCTAGTTGACGCTGGAAATATTCGGGCCTTGTGTAGCAGCAGTTACTATGTACAACCTTTAAAAATGTACACTCAAATCATTCGGGAGGTTTCTGACGAACTACATCATCTCTCTCTCTCAGAAATTTACTGCTGGACCTATTGATCGGATAGTTCCTCAGCGTTTTGCACCTTGTTTTACTCTGCTCTCAAAGTAGAAATATGAAATATTTCAACGGGACCAAAATATGATCAGTCATGCACAGGGACGGTGGGTTACATTGGACAGCAAAGCTAGGTAGACTTACTTCAATTCGTTTCTTATAAAGTACCAGCTTTTCGGTCGCATCCAAAATGGCCCGTTCCAAATATAACAGCACATCCAAGTTTTCGTACAGCATAAAGTCGACGTAAAGTGGCTGGGAAGAAAACAAGAGAGAATTTGCTTGGGGAAGTATCAGCTGTTCAAATGGATGTGCTTACTGTGCTTTATTCTGTCTGAGACATTTCAACTCTACGGGGACAGTGAATTGCGCTGGGGTTCCTTTTATCCCTATTACTGTAACCTAGCACAGATATTTTCTAAACTAGTCACCTACATACTTGGACCCACTGAGCACTGCTGTCCTAGCTTAAGTGGATACGCGTGCAAATACAGGCGACAAGCAGCGGAGATTCTTTGATGACTAATGCACTGCAGTGGTTCGCTGAACAATGGAATAATGGTGTTTTACAAGTAAAGAAAGTCTGTTTAGGGAAGTCCCGTTGTATAACTAGGATAGGAACCACAAAGTGGAAATGGTAAAAAGAAATGCGTCTTCTTTTGTAGTCGCCATATTGTTGGCACAGAGGCATACGTAAAGCTGTCTGCATCGATTGAGTAGGGGGATTCTAATGAATGCGCTGTTTGGAATATTCCATCACCTCCCGATGTACACGGATTATATTCTACAGTACAGATGGGTTAGGATAACGCCAAGGCGATTTTTGTACACCCGTAATGTTGAGGTTTCCCATAGCTGACAAACATAAAAGTGAAGGAATTTCAGCGACTTTCCAGTTGGCCGTAATGCTTTACCATCTAGACCGCTGGCCTGTCAGGTTCGTGTATTAAATAAGTTATGAAATGTGCTAACAAACGTGTTTGGCTTTCAACAAACCCTTGCAAGTCTTTATAAGTCCATTCTAGTACACACCGCTACTGACCGCTATGAAATCTTAGCGCCGTCAGCTCAGCTTGAGATGGAAAGTGGAGCAATCAGTTAACGTGCTTGACTGTTATTTGTTGTGAAGACACGTGCACACCGAGATTCTGCCAGGGATGTCAGGCCTGCACATCATATCTTACATCAGGCCGCATTATGGCGACATCTGTCTGCGCGCAGTCGGATGGATAAAACCCCCAGAATGGTTTCCGCAGAAGACCGACATTTTGTTCCCGCATCTTGAGTACATAGCTCAGTTGGTATTCCTAGCTGAGTTTGGTATCGTGGGCAAAATCTGCTGAGTCAAGGAATTGGATCAGGGTAATATAGAATACAACTCGCAGCACAGCTGTTATAATTCTGTTTGTCCACGCAGTTAGCCGCGAGTCCTGGCTTGTTGTCTTTAGCCATGGCCATTAAGTCAGAAGAAATATACTGAAATAATCTTGACGTCAAAAGCACAATATACGCCTTCCCCATCGACTGTGCTATCAGTTTCTCAACTGCTTAACCTGTTGTGCTCTCGCAACGTGTGCATAAAGACCTTGCAATTTAGGCACACCATTCAGAATCAGAGACTTCTAGGTAGTCACTGCCACGTCTTAACCAACCTGTGTATAGGACCTGTTGTAAAGACATGCTATTAAACCAATACATGCGTGTTTTAGAAGGACGAGTGCAACAAACGCACTCGAACTTATGCCATACAAAGTTTCGGCTGAAAATATATTGCGTCTCAATTTTTCTGGTGATCTATGGTGTGGAAAGGTCATCCAACTGGTAGTCAGGGCGAAGTAAAAGACATCCTTTAAGAGAGCAATGAAATACCTATCCATTTTGTGTTTTTCTCAGTCTGTTACTACCTATAGGCCTTAGTGCATGTATCAAGTTGGTTGCACACGGGGTTTCACCACACAATACTTTTGATTTAAGTGTCCCGTGGTCTTGATGATATGTCAGCAACTCACAAGACACGCTGTCTAACGTTGCTATTGCAGACAGCAAGTCACCAAAAAAACGAATGATTCGTCACAGAAAGAAGGTTGACACACGGCATCTACTCCAATTGGCTGAAAGCATCATAAATGCATGCGGCAAAAGGTACTGTAATTCAGACCCTTCGTTGAATGTTTGCTGCCATGATGCCCCAATTATCTTAACTTGACAAGTGTTGACACAGGGCTTGTAATTCGAGGGAAAATGCCTCTTTGATAGGGCCATGAACAGAAACGCGGATCCCGAGGAGGACGAACCATTCTAACTGTGCCATTTGGACCCTATCAATCACGAACAGAGAACTAGGTATTTCTCCGTTCTGAATTAACATCTTTCAGCTTGATGGAACATGCGATGCTACTGTATACTTAGACCGTTAGGCTGTAGTAACGCCTTTGAGCAGTCTGGAAACCATACAGTCTTAGGTGAAATGGTCACTGAAATTAACGTTGGACATAGTTCTAACCGTTAGGAACACTCCGTCAAGACTTTAGAAGTGTGACGCTGTCACTTTGGCGTTTGTTTTGTTAGGACTTCCTTAACAGAAAGCAAAGCCTTAGACAACAAATACGGACAAATTATGACTGCAAAATATACGCAGGGTGATAGCAGGAGTGCAACAATTCTAATCGCATATTAACAGCAGGATAACAATCCGGGTTCTTTCTTACGCAAGTGTAAGGATGTGATAATCTATGGAAGTAGAATACGTACAATGAGACGGGCGACCTAGAAAAGACCGGTCTATCCGTGGTTAACGAATAAAGTGCGAGCGATTTTCTTAGAAAACAACTGATAAATCCACCTAGTTTTGCTGACTGTCTTCACTATGTTAGCCACTTGTTATTCGTGGTCCCACTTTTCTTTCGAAACCGGTGGTATTATTTTAGAGCCTAAAGCCGTGTATCACAGTATAGAAATCTATTTATTTACAGGATTTCTGTTAGACTACACATAGAGTGTAACTGAATATTCCAAGCCTATAAGCAGATGGTGGTAGCCAAATGAGCGTGGGTTGATGTTGCTTCAGTCGGTGTTCCACGCCTCGACAAGCCGAAAACTGACGATACTACCCTTTCACATATAGTCCTATTAATGCAAAGTTCCCTATAAGCAACGACTCCGATGGATTGGTAGAATAAAATAGTGATTTCGAAGATATCATCAGTCCTTACCTTGACAAATAACACGTCAACCAGGTTCAACAATTAGTAAGCAGGATTCATTTGAGCTGCTGGTGATGGAACACAAAGTAAAGAACCGCAATCCTGAATTGTAGTCCGAGGTCCGGGCTTCGAGTCCACGTAGGGAACCGGGCGACACTCGCAGTATCGTTAGCCCACATACGAATGGTGGTGTTTGCGCGGCAGCTAGACGTCGGTGCGCAGTCCCGACATACTGCTGGTGCCCCTGGGAGTAGGGCTAAGCAAGATCGGATTCTACACTTGTGCTTCGACTTGAGCAAATATCTCCGGCGGAATGGCACGGATTCACTATTTCAATTTCTTGCAATGGAGGAATTCGAGGGTTTTCGACGTTTCTGCGTAGGTACCAGTTCCGCACAATTTACACTCATTCTGGTTCAGCTGGAAAGATGTGCAATCTGGCATATCCGCGTCATTTGTTTGACCTATGACACTCTAGTACGCACATATGCACCCACCAATTTTATCACATCCAGCGCATGAGGTTATCTAAGGACTTCAGGCGAAAACGCACTATATTCCAGCATGCCGCTGCACCACCTGAATTCAAATGTAATATTGTTCGTTTGTAAAACTGCGCAATGAAACACTAAGTAGGGAAACTTCCTTTCCTTCGGTGTGTTTCCCGTCAACCCCCATGTGTAGTGTTTCACGCCCAGCTCAAGCCATCTATTCGTGGAGAGTCTAGACAGAGACGAAATTAATGGTGGAGTGTGCACTGTAGGGAAAGATCAGGACCAAATCACTTCCAGCCTCAGATGGTTGATTTTCTGGGCAACATTTGCCAAACATTCGCCTTCATTATGCGTTAACCGTGTACGTGGTGACCCTTCTGAAAAGCTCCCTAGTCAGGGCGCCCATTCGTGATTCCACTGTGGTCAGCTGTCAACATTTCAGAGCTTTGTTATACTAGTACGTGTGTTTCCGCGTTCACTATCCTACGTTTACTATCCGTATGGCGACTTGAACGGATCTCCGTGCTTTCAGCCGTAACACAGGTTACTGTTTCACGTACATGCTAAGTGCTATCGGCTTGCAACACTGCATTTCAGGACTAGTTTTGTACTCATCTACACTCGACAGGCAAACAGAACAACACTGCAACTCGAGTCGGGGACAGTTGAGACATCAACTTCAATACACTTTATCTCATGTTTCTGAAAAACATAGAATTTGACCATTAGGTGCGAGGGAACTTTTAATCACTCGTTTGTGTATGGGTCAGGATGCACAATCTCATTCGGGACTGCGATTTACTTCCATCATATTGGTCATTAGGAGCTTATCGTGGTTAGACACATGTTAAGTAAAGTCTTCAGCAGGAATCCTGGCGTCCCTGGAGCTATTCTCAGTCCAATAGCTGGCAAGTGAAAGTAAGCATTAAACTGTTTAGGGATTACAACAATAAGAGAGGAAATAGTCAATAGTTATCCGTTTTAGACGCAGTCTTATTGATCATAGTAACGTAAGTTTAGATCAAAACAAATTGTGTTCCCGATTGAGATTGCTGGTTACAATCTATTCACACAACGAATACTTCAAATGACTTCACCATTGGATAAGTTTGTTTTCTCCTCCTTACTGACAATACGCATCATGTATGCTTTTACACTCATCTACATCATCACGTTAGAAAAGACAAAACCCACGGTTGGAATATGAGGAACAGGGACTGCCTGTATACAAAGAATAAAACGAGCGCAAAGAGTGAAGCTTGGTGGGGTTGTTGGGACCTCATGGTTAAGTTTTGGACTGCCAGGCATAACATTTGACAGCGATTAGAAAGCTGCAATTTGGATTTGATTTCAGGTGTATATAATACTGAAGCCTTCGTACCATATAGACTGCATCTGAACGTGGACAGTAAATCACCTTCACTGAAAAGTCGGTCAATAGGCAGTAATCAACTCCAACCATGTCTAGCAGAAGCGTCCGAACAAGTGCGGAATTGTCCCTGGGTCAGTGTGTTAGTAGCGATTCGCTTTGACAATTTGCAATCAAAGTGTCTCGTTATCCCCCTAGTTGTGAGTTATTAGTGAGGAGAAAGCACTGATCTCATCTCATCGTGCAAGCAATTCTTCAGCGGCAAATGTTATAATGAACGATGTAACAATAGTTGATTATTATTTTTGCAGCCTGTCCCTGTTCTATCACTGTTTTGCCTCCACCTGGTTGCATAAAATTGTGTGGGTTAGTCAGTGCTAACAGCATGAAAGGTGAATCCCCTTGAGTATGTAAGGTTTTTCAACGTGTAGACCAGTTTCTCTAGAGCTCAGTGATCGTATGGCGACGTATCCATGTCAGGATTTTATTAAATTGCACCTTGTACGGTATACACAAGACGGAGTTCGCAAAACTACTTGATTGAAGAAGCATAGCGATCTATTGCTATGCTGTCATATTTTGTTGTCAGTCAGGACCAAAATGGAAAATGTTCACTGCTGCATGCTTTATCTCGAAATTAAGATTATTTTTATATGTTTATCCGAGTAGTTAAAGCGACGCCACTTTGTGGACATGGTTGGCGGTTTCCAGTTCCGGAGCTGCTTGTCACTGTGATCTTCGAAGGAGGCCTGCGCCTACAGAGGGACCATGGGTGACTTGTGCTGCACCAACCACAACTTCATCCACACACCCAAATGCAGTGTAAACCCGAAGAAATAAGACCGGGGGGCATGCGCACCGGAGTGCGGTTTCATCAACGGAGCCTGCCCACACTCCTTCACAGGCAAACACAAGCACGCTGTATTTGGGAATCACGCGCACACAAGGCGGTGGCTGGACCGTAGTGCGCTTCACACACAAACCGTGTGCATGGAACCACTCTTCGAGGCTAGCACGGCCACAAGGACCGTGCACTCCGTCCTCTCCAGCAACGATTGACTCTCTCCTACAGCCAGTATAGACGAAGGGGTGGGTAAGAGACAAGTAGACACCTTGTCAACATGCACATCAAGCGCAACCGCAACGGGGAAGTCAAGCACCAGCCAATCACATGAAATGCAAAAAACAATAACATAGGTCGAAAACACCATACGGATATACCGCTAAATTGGCACAGGGTATAAATAAATAAATAAATAAACGTTTTATTCCTCAGCAGTGCGAGGCAAAGACCAATTGGGTGGTCTTATCATCATGTACAACGTGATCGCATAATATAGTTAATTGTTCGTCTCTTGATCAAAGGTTCCCATAAGGGTTTTGAAATGATTAGCAGTCAATAGGCCAGTCACAATTTGATGGAAAATCTTGGCGAGTGACGACGATGGTACAGAGACATCAGCTTGGAAGGCGTAGTGCATCAACGAACCAGTGCGTCAAAGGAGAAAACAGAATTGGTTAAACGGATTAATAGGAGTAAGATCGTTCTCAAATATATACTCAATAATGCAATTATATGTAGGTAATATTATATTATTGAAACGAATAGAGGATATGGTGACTTTCATACCTATCCAGGACCTTTCTCATACAAATCATCTAGAGTCACCGTTTGGCTTAGTGTTGACCAGATGTTTGCAACAGTCAGGTGAATATTAATCATGCGTCTGAATTGTGCATAGGTAGTGCAGTTTCTAACACTCGATGGAAGTTTGTTCCATATTAACGCGTATTTTACAGAGAAAAATTTTGAGCGGAGCATTGTGCGAGACTTTGGTATTTTCACTGTGCGCTCGCTGTTTCTTAGTTCATAGCGCATACGAGTCTGAAACTCGAGTTGTGGCTGAGCAGTGAAGGTCAATCCGAATAGTAAGCGGTATAAAAGGCACAGATTAAGTTTGAGTCTGCGTAGCCATAGCGGCTCCAGATGTAGCACCTCGCAACGCTCACGGTATGTCATAGTATTAGGCATGTTCAGAAACCTTTTTGTGAATGATCGTTGAATGTTTTCTAGTGCTATAATATCCACTTTTCTCAGATTACTATGCACACTAAGTAAATTATCGACATTGAAGATGGCAGATAAAGAGATTCGAAAACATTAGCGGAATGGAAAAAACAAACTCAGTTGTGCACCTTTCGTTTAAGCGACATTTGCAATTTTATAAATTATTAGGTCGATATTAAGATGAGGTAAGAAAGTGTGCACTAAGACAAGATAGCAAACCTACCACCTGAAATAAGGTAAAGCAGCACGCAAGCACACGCTTGGTAAATCGAATACAGCGCACCTACCAACGCTGCGCCAGTCCTGCTTACGTTCCTAGCAGGACCCGTCGTCGTTTCGATGTTGGTCTTGAATGGCCACACTCGTGACTAACATATCCTGCCTGACTCAAGCACTCGCGACCGCATGGGCTACAACGCCACGTGCTGGATGTCGATGGAGTACAATCCATTCGGGCCTGTCACTTCCGCAACAGTCGCTTCTTTTCCGCATAAGGACCTGGATGCATCATAACTTACAGGCTATGCAAAGTATCCGCTAACTGGATACGGATATTCGGGCTGCCAAAACGATTGTGCGGATGTCGCATAACCTGGGACTAAAGTCCAGCAATGCGTCCAACTGAGTGTTGCATGATGTCGCTACGTCGGTTCGTTAATCGGTGTCGAGATGTATGTACAGAGAAATTTGCACGTTTCGACTGGGATTGCTCTGACGGAGTCAAGGATACAAATCCGATGATTAGTAAATGGCGGTCGTGTTGTTAAGCATAAGTAAACGACTCAACCAAATCTATAATGTAGTTCAGCATGCCACCAATACCTTATCGTTGCAGTTGTCATACGCATCAAATGAGACGTATGAGTTGTTTAGCTCAACCAGGGCAATCTATTTTTACCGGTTCAAGGTCTAATCCCACGACAGAGTTAATGCACGTACTAGAAACTAGCAATTGTTTCATGCGGCTATGAACTGCTACCAATTTATATAAGTTAATCAGTATGACGGGTAATACAGTGAGATTGTGCATGGGATAATGTGTCGTGATGAAATTTCTGATGAAAGACAGTATAGAACTAGCTGGGGCTTACAGAACACTTCGGTTACGCTCTGGCGCTAGCATGCTCATCCACAGTAGTATGATCGTACGTTCGCCGTTGGTAATCCGGATCGAATTAGGTTCCAACTCGTAGGTGTCAGCTCTGGGAACATCCAGCAAGTCAATTAGCTGCTTACCGGCAATCGTTGCATAATTGTCGTCAAACCAAGGTGGTGTCTAATCTATCTTTGTGAACATTGAGCACATTAATTTAAAATCAGTTGTGTTTCCGAAAAACAAACACGAAACAGGTTCCAAAACAGCATTAAGAATTTTATCGAAAAAACACTCGTGAAAGTCTACTCTGAATAGAAGATTCGTTATGATATGAAAGTTTGGTATCACCCGGATCGGGTTAGAGTTGTTACACATCACCAGCAATTCCCCTCTATCTGAATGCATCGAAAGATTGATCGGATGAATCAAAGTGAAGCAATCGTTTTCTGAATGGATTGTGACGCTCAGTCTAAATATGGACGGCGATTCGCAGTGACATGAACCTTGGTCAAGTCGAGCACTGGGACTGCAACAAATGAGACAGATGAATTTTGGGTGTGGCCTACCCGAAAAAAATTGGATCCTGAGATCATTTTCGAACTCCGCAGATAGAGATATCAAGCGTTGAGACCTTGATTGCGACTCTTATTCTTGTAGCCACCGCGTCACGACGTGCAACGTTTAGCGCAATCATTAATGGCTGATTGGAGGGATATTTTGATATATTCGTTGTGTGAATGGATTGCAAAACGCGCAATCTCAATGTGGACTGCTATTAGCATTGGAGTGAACCTTGGGCAACGCGATCATTTGGACCGTAACTGATGAAGCAACTGATTATTTGGTGTTACATGTCGTAACTCAGTATCTCAGGAGTGGTGCTTTCGGCTAACTTGCAATGGCCCCGGGTTCGCGTACCTACCACGTCTATCTGATGAAAACAAATAAGTTAGAACCCGGTCGTGGATTGTTTGTTGGGACAGGAAACACTATATATCTGCTTCTCTATAGGATTATTCAGACAAACATTCTCACAGTGATGATGACGTGATTCAGGCTGCTATAAAACTGGTGAGACGTACAATGACCTTCACTATAATGAACTCTTTCAAGCAATAAGGAAACGTTTGGATTAGTGTATACAAACAGCATGTGAGTATATTAAAAATTGGTTGCGCTTGTCCCAACCTGGGACGTGTAAATTTATTCTCCCTGCAAAGTGTCCAGGATTGACTTGAAAAGCCCCCGTGTTTTGAACACGAAGCTGTTACAATCTAGTTGGTACTACGGAGTGCCTACTTCAACTTTTGACAGGCCTTACCTAAGTGACATCGGCAATATCCAAGACGATTAACGCCGTCATAAACAAAGTTACCATTACCTTTTTAGTAATACTTCTCGAATGGTTCGAAGGAAAGCAACCAGTTAAAAGAGACAACGCACTGATTAATGAGGATTTAACATGAATGTTAATATTATCGATAAAAGCCGATCATGTTGTGACGAATTTTAAACTCGGGTTGAAGTACAATGCACTTGACATTCTAATTGTTTGGTAACCAAGTGGTAGCGAAGGCGGAGCTTCGCAAACAGTATTAAGATGCTGCTTGCCACTAGACTTTTAAATGCCTTCTACAATGAATACACTGTGTGTGTTGATATACCTGACGCCAAATCTAATGGAACATTTTCATAACGTCAGTTGTGGATTTAAGGGCATTTTCGCATGGCTAAACACCGCTCCTCTGTAGTAAGTTTACACAACTCTATTCAATTAAGTAAAGTTTCTTCAAAGTGAAGCTGTATGTCGTACTTTATCCTTCAAGGAGTAAACTAGTGCACCGGAGAAAAAGGGCTCTAACCAGTCTGCACCTACTGCAAGCATTCCACCACACTGAAAGGAAAAGGATTCAGTACATCGCAGTTTCGATGTTAGTTTTTGAATGCGGATATGGTTTGACACCAAATCAGCGTGAAATGTTGCAAAATCCAACACAGTTATTGGTTCCAACTTACTGAGTCACCCAATAGGAAAGGTTTGTCTCCAAGGAAAGATGACCAGTGTTTAAGTATAATTGGCACCCTTTTCAAAAATTTCTCACATTCATCTTCCTGAATTGCGCAGGGGTATGAAGCATAGTGGAAATATAAGCATTACCATATGGGCGCTAATTGCCATCTTGATAATGTCAACACGTAACTCGGACGCGGCGCTTTCCAGCATGCTAACTTTTGCTCTTTCCTGTAAGGTTTTTCCAACTAAAGGATCCGAATTAATGCATACAAAAAACTATTAAAAACCTGTATCATACTTTTCTGCAATGTACCTCAGAATGGCGCAATACTCCGTTAATTTGAAGTCTCCGTCTAAAAAATATGGAAGCTAGGATCAATATGCAAAAGCTTTGTGCTAACTCACGTTGGGAAATTCTAGACCCAATGCGTGCTTGTCTGTTTCAAACCATACAGATGCATCTCGTTGGTCATATAGTCGCTCTTTGTATTCAACCCCGAGGTGTTCCAAAAGTAACCGGATTACTTGACCCTTCTGCAAGGAGTACAATGTAATACATCGTTTGTTTGTACAAATTTAGGTAAGCACAGTGGTGTATAGTTAAAGGAACATCGCAAGCGTAAGGTCACTCAAAAACGTTACTAACAAAATATTTTCCATGCTCAACTGTACCTACTGTACCTATCGAGTAAGTCAATAGTTGGTACGATTCTATTTGTGTAACAATGATATTACACATAATTTAATCCATGGTCTACTGTTATCTGCCCAAGCACAAACAAGATCTAGATAACAAAGCACGTTATTTATCGAGTCTGTTCTAACATAACAATGAACTCCGTAAGTTATGTTGGGGCTTCATCTTTTGTCAGTATAGGTTAATGCAACAAAAGATTAGGGCCATTTAGGCCACTCGATAAAGATGACAACGATTGGAATACAAAGAAAGCAAATGCAATTTGCAAGCGGATACTATCATGATAATTCATATTCTCGCAGTAGGTGGTGGCAGTTCAGCACGTATTATCAATAAAACAACCTGGATAGATGTAGTTCTCGCACTCAATTATATTATAACCTACATCTACCCATTCTGATGAACATATGTCTACACTCTGGTACATAATTAAAGTAGGGCCAAAAGTATGTAGGACTAGGGGAGAGACGATTTAAAGAGCTGTTCACTGGACCATATTTGTCCTTTTTAGTCTTTGCCGTCCTTCTGCGTTTTATCACTTCAATCTGATTTACTTAGCATTTACTGGTTTAGAAAAGATGTAACTCAGAGAGTTAGCTTGATGTCTGCTATTTAAAAATTTTTACACCATGTCTTATTGAGCACCTGCAACAAAAGCTAAAATAACAGTTATGTAATCTTTTCCAACAGTAACTCGTAGTTATTCTTTCCTTTTACAAAGCAAGAAATGAGCCAAAGGCTGGCGTTAGCAAATAATGTCTTTTCACCACATAAGCAAGTTGAATATAGTTTGTGGGTGATTTAGAAAATAACTTATTAACCTATACGGCCCGAAATTAGCCTGCTTGTAGAAAAATATGATATCCTCACTAAGCCTGCCTACTGCAGATGTGCATCGATAGATGCTACCGCTTTTGCGTTAGCTGTGATTACGCAACTTTAGTTTGAACCTGGAAATAAGGAACACATCTACTTTCTACAGTGCGTCCACACAATATATGACAATGCACAATTGCACCTGAGTAGGAAATATGATCGTTCTGGTGCTGAACCATAAACACCTCTTCTGATGCCATTAAAACAACGCTGTACATGCAAAGCGGCATGTTTAATCCAGCAACATTTCATCATATGGCAGTAGGTTGCTACTTTGTACTTCAATTCTAATTTTCGATAGCAATATTAGGCGTTATAAATCCAACGGCTATACACGGGCTACAAGCGACTCCATTGATACTTGTGCCGCAGCGAGCGCAATTCAGCAGATTATTGCAGACGAAATAAAAACCTTTGTCTTCAGAATATGTCAGCTGTGTGGTGCCTATCATTGCCTGTGACCGCAGCTCTTCAGCACAAGACGTCACGACAGACTCCTTCCTATTTTGTAAAAGCTCTCCGGATATGATGAAACGGATTCCACCCAACATCGTTATGGCTAAAACTTCCAGAGGCAGAGGAACACTGCACAGGTGCTATCTGTTAAAGCCAACTAAGGCATGTGAAGCAAAAGTATATTTTGAGTACTGCAGAAGACTTTCTGAATACCATTTTCGACAGCGGTTATCAAAACTAGATACAACTACTCACCGTTTTAATTTATGGGAACTAAGCAATACAGTTAATTAATCTACATTATTCGGACTAGTTTTACTGAGAACTTCAGCCTGCGCGTTGTGTTTCACTGCACACCGCTGCGGCAACACAAGGGTTTAAGATCGTCTTATGGAATACATAATTAAATACCATGTTTATTGCCACGTGCACAAGCTATTGCTCAGCTGGTAGTGTATAATTGATCGTTATAGAAATCCCACAATAAGAACTTAAGCACAGCCCAATGACACGCAACCGTCAAATAACAGTGCTTCTTTTCGGGGACCGATCAAAACTCATGCAGCGATTCACACAAATATGTGCATGACCTGAGTCCAGAAATGCAGACCAGATGGATCTGCAATACTTTGCACCAACCCGCGATCTGTACCTAATTACGATATAGTCAAACTGAGACTATTAGTAGGAAATCATGAGCGCCAAGTAGCGGAACGTCTCCCCGAAGCTTGGAATCTGGAGTTCGAGCAAAACCGACGACTGTTTACACACAGTGTGAAACCACGCTCTATTATCTGAGCACTTCTCATTAAGCTTATGGTGACCATCGAGGTAACTTTCATCTGATAAAATAGTTCAACCCCTGCGTTGGGATCCCCAGTAAGGACTACAGTATCGGAGTTTTAAGCTCTGATCCATCGCAACAAGACTGGACCTTAAGGTTGTGCGACGGTTTGCGTACCTCATTGACCCATTGAGCTATACTGCGTGGTGCCTGCAGGCACCTTGAGTGATACTCCTACCAGGTTGGTCAGTGGTGAGAGGTCGGACAAACTCAGTCTCCTGGTCCTGCAGGTTGGGAAGTTGAAATGGGATGGCGTCCATTTCCGTAAAACTAAATCATCGCCACCTCCCCGCTGCTTTGAGGGCAGGCTATTGAGCCAAAAGCTTTGGATGAGGACCCTACTCGTCCCCTGGTCTAAATCTGGGCGTCCTGGCAGTATCCCAGCTCACATACAACTATGAATTTTTCTTCCAACCTAAACTTCATCCTGCATCAGCCGTCGCGCAGATTATCAACGGTCGCCTTATCTGCCGTATACAGCAGGGCAGCTAAGGGAAAACATAATACTGCTGGCGCCTCGCTTCTTTCTTTTCTACCTCTTTCTCTTATCCCATCCCGACCGCCATTACTAATCTTCCTTCTATACCTCCCAGCTTAATTAACAGCAACCGAAGTGCCACTGGAGTAGAACCAGCTGCAGCCACTATCCCATCGCACCTTCTATCATGGGTGCTCTTTGCGGAATCGCATGATGTAGACATTGAAGTGCTGCCTGGTGAATGACTAGTTGATCTTGCTTATGTAGACCATATCGCCTAGCTATTCGAGAATGTTGCGGCGGCACAATCATCCCTAAATAGTTTGTCTAGAATTGTCCCATTACTTGGTATGCACTTCGCACCTTCAAAGTTCAAAGTGTTGCTGCAGGACCACCAGCCACTGTATGACCTCCTGATCGTTGCTTACGAAGAACTCGAGGTGGTTGATCAATTCACGTACCTTGGCAGCTGCATCCGCAACGATGGGCGCATAGAAACTGACGTCAGCTCACGCATTGCAAAGGCTAGAGCTGCCTTCTTGAACGTGCGGCATCTTGGGCGACAGAAAGGAGTTTCCCTCCGTCTGATAGGCCATGTATACAAGGTCAAAGTGAGGGTCGTTCTGCTCTATGATAGTAAAACTTGGCCCCTTCGGTCTGCAGATCTGAGGCGCTTTCAAGTCTTTGATCATCGTTGTCTGCAAAGCATCGTTGTTGTTGCTTAGAACCAGCGTGTTCGCAACCATGACATGTGTAGGCAAGTATCATGTAGTGCTTAGCATGCTAGCTCCCTAGAACAACAGATAGCACTGAATAACTTGCGGGGGTTTGAGCACAGCTATGTATGCTTGATCACCGCTTATCTGGGAGGTCCTTGTTTAGTCTGCCAGCCGTAGTATGGCGCAAGGCTCCAGGTGGACAGAAGATGAGTTGGCAGCGGAAAACGAAGTCATTGACGATCAAACTGGAGGCAGTTGGTCCATCTCCTCCTTCGGGCTGGAGTCCACGTGACTCGCGTTGTGTTTGGCTCTATAGTTTACAGGACATGGCTTGCAACCCACCCCAGTGGCGCGTCTGCTGCCGTCTCGTAATCAAATTTCCTGTTTAATGTGTGTTTGGTGCAGAGTTTTATGCGGGGTAACGGCTGATTATGAAGCGGGCAGTGAAAGCCGCAATGAAGCTGTCTCGCTGATGCCGTCTTATATTTGCGCGATAGCCAATTGTTTGTGACAGTATGTTGTTAACACAAGGTGTAGGCGCCTTGACCGTGATTGTTTGCTCAGAGCATTAAAATTTTTAGGTAAGTCCCCCATCTCTCCCTCTTCTTATTCTTTACTTCATAGGTAATCATAGTTGTATGGCAGCGATGCATCAAATCATGGGCTGATGTACGGCTGTTGTTGTTGTTCTTGTTCTTGTTGTAAGACAAGAACAACAAGAACAAGAACGACAACAACAGTGGCCGAGTGGTCTGCACGTTTGCTTTGCAACCATAAGGTCACCGGTTCGAATCCGCGTAGGGGTGGGCGTCCTCGCGGTATACTCAGCCCACGCGCGACTGGTGGTGGTCGCGCGGCAGCGAAGCGTCGTTACGGCGTACAGCTGACACATTTTTTGTTGTTGTAAGCTTTGATCAAGAGCTAGTAAAGTTCACGATAAAAATAGTCATTGACGGAGTAGCAACTGCAGCTGGTTGGAGCGTAAGCTGAGATCACAAACAAGTTGCGTCTAAACCTTACGATACCACCGGTGTTTACCTTCGACCACCGGTGCCTTCGCAATTTAGCTCACATATGGTGGGAACACCGCGTGAGCAACGAGCGTGTCAGACGCCTTGTTTATGGCACAGGAAAAGAAACTGAACCGCTAAACACGGTTATTTCACGCACCAGGCTTCGATGGCTTGGCCACGTGTTACGCATGCTAGCCCACCGACTCCCGCGACGTGCGTTGTTTGCGCATCGGAGGTGTGGATGGAAGAAGAGGAGGGGTGGTCAAGCGATGACTTGGTCCAAAGAAATGAAAGCCCTCACTTCTGATCTGGCCTCGTTTGGGGCTCCTCGGCTCCCTGGTTGGGGTCCGAAAGACGATGAACACGTTTGGTTGGACACACTTGCTGATATGGTTAGGAGCCGACCTCAGTGGCGTTCATGCTGTGAGTTTCTTTGTCCCATCCCATCCCC